TTTCAAAAATAACAAGTACAATTTGGTGGTCGGTGACTGTAAAATTTTTTTTAATGTTTTGCAATCTCTTTCCTTCATTCTCACTGTTATCTGGTTTATCTCCAAAAAAATTTATCACAGCATCCCACTGTTCCAAAATCCTTGTTATAGATTCTAAAAGAGACAACCATCTCGTACTGCAATATTTCAAAATTTTATGAGATTTTGCATTCTGTCCCAAAATTTGTTGAGCAACTTTGAAGCTATGCTTCCGTTTCGAACTTTTCTCCAAGTAAAAATATATATCTATTATCAACATTTCAATTTCTGAGCCAATTAATTTTTCAGTAGCTTTTTTTGCAGCTATATGCAAGAGGTGGCACGGACAACCTCGGGTGATTATACTACTTGGTTGATGCATTTTGATAAATGATGCTACACCTTTAAACTTTCCAATCATATTACTAGCATTATCTGAAGAAAATGATAAGCAATTTTTCCATTCTAAACCTTTGTTTTTAAAGTTTTCATTTATACAATTAAAAATACCTTCTCCTGTATTATTCGTGCATTCTAAAATAGAAATCAATGAAGTAATTATCACTCCCTTTTCTTTACTGTAGTATGTTATAACCAATGGGTACAGTTTGTTATCATTGTTATCATTACTTCCATCAGTACTTAGAGAAAATGATGTACTGCACACTGATTTTATAATATCAGCAACAGTATTTTCTGCAAGCGTTTTCACAATAGCAGCAGTTTTGGTATGACCGCAGCTAAATTTTTTTGCTATGGCAGAATCCGGAAACATTGCTTTGAAAAGCTCTTTGGAATGATCCGAAACAGAAAGCGGTAGATTATGTTCAATTAAAAAACGAACAAAATAGCATTCGGCTTTTATAGGATCTGTTTCATCATCTTTTATTAAGAAATTTGTTATTTCTTTAGATTTTACGGTGCCAAGTTCTATATGCTTTTGAGAAAACACATGCCGTTTACAGTCATCTTTTCCGCCATGAGCAACTGAGAAGTCTTTGTTGCATACACTGCAGTGTGCGTGATTCACAGAAATTTCGGACGCTTTAATGCATGGAAATTCTGAAGAATATGAATCTTTAAACTTCTGCTTTGATAATTTTGGCTTCTTCGTTCGAGGCAGCATTATGATTAAAAATCTTTCACCTGATTCACAGTTCACAAGACACACGCTAAGCTCTCGCCGTAAACTACACAATGCAGCCGAATGCAGCCTAAACACGCATCAGCGAGGAACCTGGGAGACAGACAATTGGGTGGAACTATTGATAAGTCGTTAACGGTTGGAGTTACTGATCTACGATTGGCTAATTCTTCAAAACTAGGAACGCACTCAACACGTGATATATGATAACACGAGTATTCAGCCAATCATCGGATGAATTAGTTGGTTTCGTTTTGCGTACCGGTTCTCCTGCTCTTGTTTCTGTAAAATCCGTAGTTTTTTCCATACTTTTTGTAGCTCGTACTTTTTCATGAATTTCCGTAGAAACTACGGAGAATCCGTAGTAGTTGGAGTCTATGTTTATGTATAACGGACGGTATAAGCTAGGCTAAAATTATCTAATTACCTATTTCAGTTAATGTTCCAGATTGCGTTGTTCTAATCTTCTAATGGATCGGCTTATTTTTTTGCAGACTGTTAGAGCATTTATAAATGTTAGACAATCGAAAGTTCAGCTTTCCTTACGTCAAAAGAGTTTCCGCTTCTGGAGCTGCCAAAGGATCTACAAGCGAAGCATGTTTCGATGTCCATCAAACAAAATTGGAATTGCTTCAAAAAATAGGTAAAGGCTGAAGAAAGTGCCAGAGAGGTTAGTGAAACGAAAAAATTTTCGATTGACAAGTTAGTCGGTATTCTCGGTACAGCAATTACGGACTTGAACAGCAGAACATTGTAACTGAACAAGAAATTATGTCTGTTTATAGAATTAAGAGAAAGTATTAGCACATAAAAGAAGCATTTAAAAAATTTACATTGAAAGAAATGTTTAAAAAGTAAACAATAAATATTAAGCTTTTTTTTGTAATTTGATACCTTGATCATAATTGCTCTTTATTTCATAAATTAGGGCTTCATATTTTTAATTTTATGATTTCTGCATGCCATTTTACCAGATTTAAACTGATGATCTATAATCCGGAATCACCGAAGTCCCGACGAGTCCGGATTAAAGACTTTTTACTGTACTAATGTTTTTATAACCATTGTTAAGTATGGAATTAAGGCTTGGGGTTGCAGAGCGGGGGAGTTACAACATTTATGTATGAAACTCAATACCATTCAGCGGAGTTGGCTTCTGCGCTCACCCGTTGTTTCCACACAGTTTCGAGTGAAGTGCTTTGCATCCTGGCAGGCACCCTGCGTCTCTTGATAATCTACAAGTTTTATTACGATAAAGCTATATTAAGAAACTTTCAGACTTATTTAACTATGATGAAATCCCAATTTTTGCTGATTCCTTTTCTGTCTTTAATGTACATCTGATCCATCCGGCAAACCGTATTTCAATCAATTATATTTATTGTCCTTGTTTAATGGAATACCAAATTTTTGCTGAAGGATCAGGTTACGAGGGCAGGGTGGGCTCGACTTTTGTTGTATATTATTTTGATACTGAGATCTATTACTATAAATTGGGCCTTAAAAAATATAACTCTGTTTATCAAGCTGAGTTCATCGCCATGCTCTATGCCCTTAAATGGATATGAAAAGCAATTTTGCAAGAAATTCTAACTTTTATATTTTTACAGATTGCATTTCTTGCTTAAATGCACTTTATAATGCAGAAAATAATAATGGTCTGCTTATCGATATTAAAGATCTTTACCAAAAACTATCCTTATCTTTTAAGATTAAGTTTGGCTGGGTTAAAGCCCATATCGGAATGTTCGGTAACGAGAGAGCGGATGTGCTTGCAAAAGAGGCTGCCTGAGGAAGTGTTTCGGGGACGCCTTATGTTCAGGGTTAAAAAAAGTATTATTTTAAGTAATGGCAGTTACAATGGAATACTTCTAAAAGGAAAACTCGATATTTGAAACACTTAGAAAAATACTAAGAAAAAGAATATTATCTTCAATGATTTTGAAGTTAACCAGTTTCTGACCGGACAAGGGCGTTTCCTGGGACACCTCGCCAGGTTTAAAATACAAAACAACTATAAATGTAAATTACGTGGTCTGTTTGGTGATGCTAAGCATTTTTTCGAGGTCTGTCCCTACTTCAATAGCTTAAGAAACAATAAAAATATTGATTTTGAAAATCCCTTTTTATGTTACAAAGATTTTGCACAATTATGTAAATCTGTGATGAAAATTATTAACGGTGAGCGCCGGGCAGTGGCAATCAGTATATGATTTTTGCTTTTTACTGCCGTCACTATTTGGTCTATTTTATTAATTTGTTGTTACCATTGTTTGTGTTTGTTGTTCGTGGGTTTTTTTGTTTGTTTTTGTCTTTGACGTCTGCACTTGTCTAAATGTTTGTATTTGTTCTTTTTCCTTCACTTTTATATTTATAATTATAATTAACACATGATTATTTTCATTTATATATTTTACATTTCATTTTTTCCTTTGTTGAAATGGGCGTGGCCTGTCATGACCATAAGACCAACTTGTTTGGTTAGGCGGGTCAGGCTGCACCCACTACTGACACTGATACCTTAATGGAACATTACCCTTTTCTGCTGGAACTCTGTTTGACATTTCTCCTTAATAATAACATCAACATGGACTGGTACCTCACTGTACAATTTACTGTTGAGGGTTTTACCATTTTCTAGATAATCTTTGAGGATAATACCTCGGCAATCCCACCAGATACAAACCATGATCTTTTTGTTAGTCAAATTGTGCTTTGCAATGCTGCGAACAGGTTGACCGGGTGTAGACAACCCCCTTTTCGGCCTGTATTGTTGAAGTAAATCTACTTTTCATCGCAAGTAATGATTCGGTCCAGAATTTTGGCCTTGCGTTCATATTTAGCAGATTTGTGCAGGTTCGAACATGTTTGTCCTTATCTGCTTGAGTCAACTCATGCCGCACCCAGCGATTGAACTTGTATGTCAAGTTTATGTCATGCACAGCATGAATAATGGACATAGTACTAACATGTAAATCGTTAGCAAGTTCTTGAGTGGTTGCATACTGATCTTCTTCTACAAGTTCTCACAGGCGGGCTTCATCAAGATCAAAAGGCCGGCCAGAGCACTCTGCTTCTTAATGCCATAGTCCTTATTTTTGAACTTTCAGTACCAAGTCTTCACAGTGTCATATGATACATTAGTACCTAAAGCTATACAAAAGACGGACAAAATGATGGTTCTAATCTGGTAGCATCATAGTTCCATTTCATATGCCTTGTACTTAATGATAACGATTTCAGACACCTTGTAGTTAATGATAACGATATTTTTTTTACATATTTCATTACACAGTGTTCTAAAGCAAGGCTCTTTCTTTCAAATGCCAAAACTCGTTTGACAAAATATGATTAAACACGCCAACATTAACTGTTTCTGCAGACGATATTTACAGTGACGGGAAACTTTTGTTAAAACCCTTATTATAAATGATATGTATGCTTTTCTTCTAATATATTAAATTACTTTAGAATGCATACAATTCTGTAAAACCAACTGCAACACAAGGCTGAATTCACCTCATTTTAAATTTTAAAGTGATGTGCTTCTCTTTTTTCTATTAGTTTTTCCCTAACTAAAAAACACAACACATTTAACAAAAAAATTTGCATTTCTTAAACATCAGTCACATGATTTTAAGATATTTAATTAAGATTAAATAACAAAAAAATCTTATTTTACCTCATCCTAAACATTTTACAGATGTGTTATACTTCTGATATTCATGTTTTACCACTAACATTTTCTTCCATGTCTGAAAGTTTATTACTGAATTTATACTACTAACATATTTTAGATTCCAATTTTTTACAATGTTATAGTACAATTATAACTTACCCACATAACCATTTGGATCACGCCCATCCAATGAATATTTATCATTGAGATATATCGCTATCTCCAGTGCTTCTTCAGGACTTTGAGTCCACTCTAAAATTTTCTTTGCCCAATACATCCGCAAGAATCCATGCATTTTCCCTTCCACAATCAATTGTCTCTGTAATACCAGTATAAGATTTCAATGGTCTAAGACCAATTTGATCAACTCATTAAATTCAATCTGTTGCAAAAAGAATGTATGCAGCCAGAAAAAATTGAGCCATGACTTCGAAACATGGCATGCAAATGTGGTTTGATGAGTTATGTAAATGATTCAACTAGTAGCACAAACCAGCATTGTGCAGTGATACAATGTGTGTCTGAAGTGCACAGCTGGTAGAATGTAAAAGGGCACTTTTGGAGAATGATGAGCATTTACAACCACACTGATGGCTTGGATACACGACATTGTAACAAAAGATGCCTTTAAGACACACTCGACTGTATTATGAAAAGTTGTCAGACTTTGACAGGAGTCGTGTCATAGGGCTAAAAGAGACTGGTTGGTCGAACTGATGGACTGGCCAGCATATTGGTTGAAGCGATATGGTAGTTATCTGCTGTTGGAACCAGTGGTTCAGCAAAAGTATAGTCAGTCGACGTACTGGCTAGGGGCATCCCTGGGCCACCAAATATACAAGATGATTGTGAAATTAGAAGAGCTTCTACATTTGCACCAACAGTTATGCTATCATCGATTCAACACCATTTGCCAACTCACAGGGATCTTATGATATCTAGGGATACGATTCACGAAGACTAGGTGACACTCAATATCCATGAAGAAACTTACCATTGACATTGCACCATAAGTATCATCTTGCATGCTGCCACTCTCGCTCAAGCTGAAGAGCGTTCGATTGGAGAAATCAAATTTTCAGCGACAAATCATAATTGCCACATACATGTTTCAAGACAGAGAAGACAGTGGTCTAATGTACAATTTATTATCGAGCGACACATATCCAGAACATACAGTGTTACAGTCTGGGGAGTAATGAGCTTGGACAGCTATTCACCGTTAGTCGTGCTGCAAGGTACTCTAACTGCTCACACGTACTTTGAGGACATTTTGCAGCCAATCGTACTGCCTATTCTAGCAGGTCATCCAGGTTCTGTTTTCCAGCAGGACAATACTCAGCTTTCCCAAGAATTTATTTCCAAGAATTTATTTCCCAAGAATTCAAGCACGACTTTCCCAAGAATGTGTTTGATTTGTTAACGACCTTGACCGGCTTGCCAGGTTTCCAGACCTGTCGTTCATCAAACATATTTGGGACATGCTGGGCAGGCAAATTCAGCCATGTATAAATGCATCCCAATTCACTGATCAGTCGCTCTATTTGCGGCAAAAGCATATATTTTTTTTGCAACAGAAAGTCAGAGAGTATAACTGATAATTTTTGGGAAAAATAATTCAAATTTAAATCAGTTAATTATATATATTAACAATACCTGAGCTGCATTCCATAGAGGATCATGAGTTTTTGCATCTTCCAATTTTTCCTTCGAATACAAATATTCTCGCTTATCTTTTGAATGATCTTTTAATGTCTTTTTAGCCCAATCATATGCACCTTATGTGAAATTAGAAGGAAAACTATATTTTCAAATTATGTAAATATTTAACTTATAAAACATATTTTAATTACTTAAAGGCAATTAATTTAAAGTACATACCCTCCACTTCATCATATTTTGAATTATAATAGCAAAAGTTATCAGCAAGCTCCCTACGAATTACTGCTTCTTCAACAAATGCATCTACTGATGCAGGATATTTACTCTTGTACTTAAGAACAACTAGAATACTTCTTTGTATCGAAATCTGACCTGAAATTATACAAATAAAAGGGAATTATGAACAGTTTCAGAAATTTAAGAATAAATTCGATTATCAAAAACTGCACCAATAAAATTTGATTACAGCTAGAAAACATGGTGGACAAAAACATCTTGGAGAAAACAACGCAAGGCGAAAGCGTCGCGGTACAAAAGATCGTGGGACAAAATAAAGTAAAGAGAAAACATCGAGTTCTAAAACATAGTGGTAGAAAATATCGTGGTCGAAAATAAAGTGGTTCAAAAACTTCGCAGTTTGAAAACATCGTTGTCGAAAATATCATGGTAAAAAATAAAGTACCTACAAATCATCGCATGATGATAACATCGCACTGTTGTTTGTTTATTCTTAAAGTGTCCATACTGGCATTTTATGTAATTGACGTTTCGTACATCAACTAAAAAATAGACATCCAAAAAATTGAGTTGCACGAAAGTACAGTTTAACGGAATATTTATATGTCAGTATGAGGCATAATTGTAACAGTATGGGGCATTAACATGTTTAGAATAAACGGAAACATAAACAAGAATATGAATTTTCACTGAAACAATATCAGATTAACAAACGTGAAAGAAAATAATTTGATAATTAAGTAAGCAATTTTTATAGAGGTAACCTCAGGCAGTTATTTATCTTCCTTTTTTCTAAACATATTTAGACTGTACTTTTCATAAAAAATTTATCAGTAAAACTTTATAAAAAAAGATTAGTTTATTTATGACCTTTGTTAATTAACTGTGTCAATTTAAAATTCTATTAAGTGCTTTAAGTTGTATTAATTTTCTACTCATTTTCAATTTTTAAATACTTAAGTTTCCTTCTTACTTTTTCAACAAAAATTTATAAGTTCATTCAAAAATATGAAACACAGAAGTAAAAATATCCCATTTTCCTTCTTGCGCTCACAAATCATTATGCAAATATGCATTTACAGCATTAAAACCTGAAAAACGCTTGTGTGCGATGTTATTGTCATGTGATGATTTGTAAGTACTTTATTTTTTACCATGATATTTTCAACAACGATGTTTTTAAACTGCGAAGTTTTTGAACCGCTTTATTTTCGACCACGATACTTTGTATCATGATGTTTTAGAACTGTGATGTTTTCTCTTTGCTCTATTTCCTCCCACAATGTTTTCACCTTGCGTTGTTTTCTCCGCGATGTTTTCGGCAGACACCTAAAATTTATATTCTATGGCAGCACAGTTTAATTGTTTAAATCTGCTTCTTATGGATAATACTTTAAAATAAAGCAATAAGATATAAAAATAATAATTATTGCATCTGTATGAAATTTAAAAAACTCTCAAAACAAAATGATTGCACAAATTCATATGTAAGGTTTAGATAAAGCTTGCAGTCATGTCATCCATATTACTGAAAGAAAAATATCAGCTCCTTAAATAAAAAGAAAAGAAAATATTAACTTTCAAAATATCTAGAACAAATCAATAAGAAAATAGAACTATCAGTGAAACAAAAAATTTAGAAACTTAAAATATAAATCTATGATAAGTGACAGCATAGTTCCTTTCTTCACAATCTGTCAATTCTAATGTCAATCAACTTGAGAAATATTTTGCAAATTTTTTAATCTGTTCAACCATTCATAATAAAAATTCAATTAGAATAACTCATATGTCAAACTGAAAATAAAGTATAAAAAAATTCAACATATCTAAAACAAAACAGTAACAGAAAGACTATCAATAAAACAAAAGCTTAAAAAATATATATATAAATCTATGTTAAGTGAAAGGAGATTTTCTCTCACTTCACAATTTGTTAATTCTAATTTCAATCAACTTGAGAAAAATTTTGCGAACTTCTTTTATCTGTCCTGTAATTCATAATTCCAACAAGCCGCCCAGACAGTAAGGCTAGGGAAGTAGTAAGACCCAAAGGGGTGGCTAGGGAAGCCGACCGCGATGCCAAAGGGCCCGGGTTCGAATCCCAGACAAGGCATGGATGTAAATTATCTGTCCCTCCCCTCATAGAAAGTAATATTGGCCGCCTATTAGGTGCCTCTACAATAAAATGGCCACCCCTTCCAGCCTTGGCCAATGCTGATAAGGCAAGTGCCCACCATTCGATTAATTATTCAATAAATTATATATATATATATGTGTAAGATATAACAAAATATGATAGCTGTTTCAAAAAAATAATTGGTGGCCTCAAAATTAACATTCTAAATTTGGTAATCTGCCACTAAATTTCATCTCTTCTCACAGGTTCCAGATTTTTCTATCTTAGGTAACGTTTTAATGCAGATGCCTCTTGTCCAAACAAATTAATTGTAAACCAAAACTCTGAACTGAAACTTTCCCACTCCCAACCTTCTTCCTCTGAAAGTACTATAACATTTCCTCATAAGCTTCCTTGCCGGCAAGATGATTTTCATCTATGCTACTGCTGCCGCTTATTTGCTTAAAACGACGTCATACTTCAAAATGCAACTTCTGTATTCAAATATAATTAGGAAACATCTTGAATGAAAAAAGGATGATTTGATATACGTAAAAAAAAAAAAATAAAGATTGTGATTTTTCAAAATACGTTGTGCTAAATTGCGTCATCATGCTTTCCACTCTTGCCATCTTCAGCCATCTACGCAATATCGAAAGCTGTTGAGGGTTCCACTGCTTTTATCTACGCATTTTAAAATCATTACATATATATAATATATAATATATTTGACAAATTATATATATATAATTCCAACAAACAGAATAACTCGTATGTCAAATATCAAAACCGATCATTTGATGTGATTATCATGAACACATTGAGGTTTTATATGTAGCACAATCACTCTTAACTGTCAGCAATGAGACTTTTCAGATAAGAGATTTTTTTAAGATAATTGAATTTATATTTCAAGAATTTACCTGTTCCTGTTTTATGATGGCATTTGTAGAAATTGCAGCATACACAGTCCATTCATTGTTTTTTTTTTTTTTTTTTTTTTTAATTTATCAGCCCCAATTTAATAAATAATTTTAAAAAAGGTACAAATTATTTAAAACTCATAGACATGATTTTATGTTTTAGACAAGAATTTTATAACTAGTATAATAGTAGTAAAATGTACTTTTATTAGTAGAAGTAAAATGAATCGAATGCATATTCATTGGTGTACAATTACATAAATAATGTTATTTGAGTAAATTACAAATCATTACTTAAAAGAAATATGAGGGTTTTTTAACTCAAGTCTTTTAGAAATGTCTCATTTCTAAATGTCATGAGTCTATGTCTAATGTCAGACATGAGTCTATGTCTTAGGAAGGTTAAATTAAATGATACACATCAATGCACACTACAAAGAAACTGTTATTCGATAAAGAATATTTATTTAAAAATAAGCAATTAACTTGTTTAGGCTATTGGCTTCAAAAATAATTTTGTTTCTCCACACAATTAACATAAGGACTGAGACCATTCGAATCTTTGTATCCTAACCTAAGAAATCGTTTAACATTTTTTTCAAAAACTTTGGAATAACTATTTTTACTGATGCCCAGTATTGAAGAATTCCCCCAAAAAAAGAATATGATTGCAATTTCAGTGGTATTTTAATCAGTATCTCTCATGAAGGCCCTGACTGATACAGTATTTCAATGTGACAGCCAACGTAATCTTCCAGAAATTTTTAATAATCAATACACTGCACATCCCTGAAAATTCCCAAAACTATGTCTTGAATCGTCCCTATAATTTTGGTCATAGATAATGGAGTTCATGCAGATCACTGAAAATTTTCAAAAACACTATTTGATTCGCTATGATAATTCGGGATATGCATAACCTATTGCTAATAAATCTAGTAATTCATCCTGGGCTATATAAACGCTTCATCGAGCACACATTCCATCCTTCTACCAGCTGAAATCTTCAACCGAGCTGTTTAATTTTGAGCTGTTTTCAAATACATGGCAATCAAAACTAATGTTACACAGACATCTGCACAATAGTTTAGTTCCTAAGCTTTTAGCAAATAGGTGAACGGGTTCACCATATTCTAACTGCTGGACCCATAAAGGTAGTGAAATGACTTAGCGTCTCATTTTGATTTATGTAAAATAACTCAGAAGAAAGTTTAAAATAAATTATATCAGCCTAATGGTTACATAGTAGAACTTTCCATGGGGTTACCTAAACTGTGTACAGAAAATAAATCTCAAATGGAATCTGTAAGCAGAGGACATTTCAGAAAATAAAAGATCAGATTTCAAAATAAATGTTTGTGGGAGCAAAATTTCACATTATTGCCTGAAATTTATAGTGTATAGTGATCAAGCAGTAGATTACTGTACAGCTTTTTGTTTGGCTACTAAGCTTCCATGAAGGACATATCAGAAGCACATGATGATAAAAAATTACGAATCCAAAAAATATGAACAGATTACAAGAAGTATAATGCTGGCAACAGAACCAGGGCATGTGGTGCAGCTACAGAGCGATAGTACACAGTGGTGAAAATTTTAGATATATCGGGCAGCAAGGTAGTGCAATATTTACCTGTGTCTCTAACCTAGTGCCTCTAACCTAGTTTGAGGTAGAAAGAAAGGTCATCAAACAAGAAATCCAAAAATATGAGAAAATACCACAAGCTAAAAAGATTTCACCAATATCAGTATGCCAATTTTGACAGAAAGTTTGGAGAAGAGAGATTTTTGTGATCAGTTGATGTCTCATTGCTTGATGCATTGCTATTGATACGAAGATTTGATGATTAAGGTGGAAGATCTCTATCTGGAATAATATGTGATAAAATTGGAATTAAACATTTTCACTAAAATTGAAATCGTTGTCAAACCAGTGATTCTTTCCACGACTTGAAATATTTCAGCATGCACAATCTATAGAGTTTCATGTGGGAAACGTATTCATTAAGCATATTTTGTGAATGGTTCCAAAATATGTGAAGCAATTGCAAAAAATGCCTAACTGGCTTGGGGATAGGAAATTAATTTTTAAGAAGTTCCACATGAAATTGAGCTAAGTCTCCTAACTAAGTAAAGGGCTGAAGATTCACTCCAACCAAAAATATAATCCTTGAAACTTTTTCCACAGATTAAAAGAGCTCTATATGGATTGTAAGGTTTCTTCGACAGTTACTCACGCCATTTAAAGGCTGAATAAAAGTAGCACCCTACAAAGAACAGTAAACCTTCAAGGTGGAGATCACGACTGTTGTAAAAAACAATGGGATCATACAGGAACATAAGCAGACACTGCCTGGAGTAAAATTAACTTGCAGGGAAAAAATATTAGGGAGAGTAATTAAATAAAAATATCAGCATTGAGTTTTAGATTAGCTTCGATTTAAGGTATTCTGATGACCATTACCTGTTCAAAAAGTAACATAACTGGAATAGAATTACCAGAAATGGAATTGTTTGTAATTTTACATACTTGTTGCTCTGACGATAAGCTAGCAGTACACAGTTTGAAATCTATCAAATTTTTCCATAATAATATGAGAAATTCAATTAGTGATTAATAAAGAAACGTACTGATAGCATGCATTTAGATTAATATATTTAATGGCATTTTTGCCAAAAATATTAGCTATACAGCATCACGCTTCTTCAAATCAAAATTTATTTCAAATGAAATTAATAAAAAAGATTAAACAAAGTTATAATTACCAAAATGAAACCACGGAGAAAGATTACTCAAACTGTCTTTCGTAGGATCATTGCGTGAATCATTAAAATACTTTAATCGAATTTTAACAAATTCATATAATTTTAGCAAGCCTCCTTTAGTTCCTGGCTGGGCCCAAGCTACATCCCCTACATTCATGTCCACATCTAAATGCTTTTCAATGTTTTTCCAATCAGTGGGCTAAGAAGAACATTAAAAAAAATATATAAGTTCATGTACATAAAAGACATTCAAAAAATAAAAAAATGAAATAAATCACACTGAAAAATATATTTCATTTAAGAAATACTCATTTTAGTATAAGAATTATGCACAAAAGCAAAAAATAGTGCTTTAAACATTTCAAAATTTAGACCTACTATAAAACCAGAATTATATAGAATGTTTTTCAGCAAACAACAGGATCATTTTATAAAAATGATATGATTATCATTTCAGAATTCTACAGTGTGTGTCATGTTTCAAATAGCATATGTAATCTTAATAAATGAGGTGAATTTTTAAGATTTTAAATAAATTTCAAGTATACAAACAGTAAGCTTAATATAATGTTAAAAAAATTTCTCCCTTCAACTGTGCCAATCAATATTTTAACATTTCCCACATGCACTTCCAAAGTTTGTTACTTTTTTCACTTACACTATGCAAAAACAGAAAATTGTACATTTTGCAAAGTTCTTCAAAAAAATTACTTTGCTATATTTGTTGCTCATACTTATTCTGAATTTTAGTACTAATCATACAAACAAAATTCATACTTTAAGGTGAGTAAATTTGCACCTATCATTAGGCAATCAAAGTTGTATTGCCATTTTAAACATCAAGGGTAACAATATGATGTCACCTAACTCTATTGTAATTTTGACTAAGAGTATGACACAGGCTGAAAACTGATATCTATTATTTTACTCCTATCAATATCCCAAGAGAGTAATTAAATAAAGACATCTCTGTTTGATAAAAGCCACTTACAAACATCCATGCCTTGCTAGGTATTTGAATCTCAGTTTTTTGGCATGGAAGCAGTATCTACTAACCATCGTATCTATCCGGGTGCCAAATTTATAATGCAAAAAAAAAAAATTAAATTATGCTCAGATTACAGGCTAATATCTTAATTCATCATTAAAATTTCAAAAAGTTTAAAAAACATTTTAAGATGTAAAAAATTAATCACTTAAAAAAAAGGAATTTATATAATTGAAAAAAAAAATGAATTTAGCCAATTTTTTAAAAGTTTATGATTTTTATATTTTTAAACTTTGCACTAAAAACTTCATATGCGGATTCTAGTTAAATGCCTAAAACAATTTTAAGCTAACTTTGAATAGCCTTCTTTCTGGTTTAAAAAATCAGTCTCTCAGGAATTAAAAACACAAACATTAAATCATATACTTAAAACCAAATACTTAAAGCAATCATGACAAATGGACTATTCTATCATGAATTAATGACACTTGAATTCATGCAAACTTATTTAGAGGAAAAGCTTAATTATTCAAAATGTAACTCCACATTTTTTTCACTAGAATGCTTGCTAGTGCAGAAATATTTCTTTCAAGTAAAGTGGCAATGCTTCCTATTTTACTAACTTGGCAAATATGCAACTGGAAACAATAAACAACTCAAAAGGGTTTCCTTCAGGGTATTTAAAAATTACACCTCAACTTTTCACAAAATAGCCGGTTTAAAAATCCATTTTTCTCTCCCTTCCAAAAAGAATTTGAAAATTTATAATTTTGATGTGCTGCCAGTGATCTGCTGTTTTCAATAATTCCAACATATTTTTAAAGTTGTTTAAATACTATTATACACCACAGCGTCTGAAATCCAGACATCCAGTACCAGTAATGATCTAATAGCCAGACCTCCGAACCACTAGCATTTTGTTTTCTAGATTATTTTTTGCAAAAACAGAGAATGATTGCTTAATATGCTTAATGCTTCATACATACATAAGAGACATTTTTTATAGTAAAACATGTGAAGATTCTCAATTTCACTTCAGCACTAAATAAAACACTTCCCTACTGTAGAAACACAATCTTTATTAGCATAAGTCTTTACAAACAATAATTTAGCTTTGTAGCCACCTTATTTCTTGGCACTCATCTGAAGCCATACCATTCTATCAAAGTTTATCACTAACTTCCCACCTACTGAATATATAGGGTCGGTCAACGTTCATAGCATAATTTGACTTGCGTAGTATAATGACGTACTGCATGAATGCGTGCCAGCTCGTGTCGCATTCGTGTACTGATGAGCTGCCATTTCGAGTGTGACAGTGATATGGATCGGTGAAGTGCACAGCATCGTGCCTTTGCTGTTGAAGTTATTTCAAGAATAACTACTCTGTTATTGCTACCCAGCATCTATTTCAGCAACATTTCAACTTCGGACGTTATGGAAAAGTTCCAGATGGACGAACCATTGCGACAGACATTTCCAGGTACAGTAATTTCCTGTTTTGGTGACATTTCCTGGTCGCCTCGCTCACCTGATCTTTCTTGTGCAGACTTTGGGGACACCTAAAGTAAGAAGTTTTCTGAACATGTTGTACCACCATTCCTGAGTTGAAGGATCACATCCGAACTGCCATCAGCAACGTCCCAGGGAATACATATCGCCGAGTTATGACAAGCTTCCAACGCTGCCTAGATGAATGTGTTGTGCAGAGTGGGCATCATTTGATAAAAGTAATCCATGAAATGGACAATGACTTACACATTAGTAAATGGCATACCTTTAACTATTAATTGACATAAGAGGTATTACGTATTTCCAGAGTCATTCTGACTAGAGGATGCTGGGTTCGTCCTAATAGTCAGTGGCAGGCAGGATACTAAAGGTGTAAGACGTGGAAGGCAGAGATGCCTAATAATATATCTCTAATTGATTGAAATTTTTGTATATTTTCTTGTAAATAAATGTTGTTATTGTTAACAAAACCTCTTATTATCTCTTGGATGCACCTTTAGTCTCACAGAACCATTAGGTGCAAAAAGAGGTAATAAATAAATTGCAGTTACTGCCTTATGGTGTGTTTTTAATATCCTACTATGAACACTGCTACACCCTATATAAGGCTTATGCCAAACTTGCAAATCATTTATTATTGTTTGCTTTATCACCACATGATTATCAACTCATAGCAGCTTAAGAAATAACTCATGCAGTAGACGTTGATTCAAATGGCAATTTAACAGAAATTCTTGACACGGTAATTACAGGAATTGAACTTTGCATTAAAGATATTATGTCCATCTATAAAATATAAGAGAAAATAATGGCCCTAAAAATGAAGCAGCTTAAACAATTTACATTGAAAAAAAATGTTTAATACAGCAAACAAATAAATAACGAGCTTTATACACTGAAGTGACAAAAGTCATGGGATAGCAATATGCAAATATACAGATGGCAGTAGTATCGCATAGAAAATGTACAAATGCGAAGTGCTTTGGCAGGGCTTTCATTTGTGTTCAAGTTATTCATGTTAAGAGGCTTTGACGTGATTATGGCCGCACGACGAGAATTAACAGACTTTGAACGCGGAATGGTAGTTGGAACTAGACGCATGGGTCATTCCATTTCAGATATCGTTAGGGAATCTAACATTCCGAGATTCACAGTGTCAAGAGTGTGCTGAGAGTATCTAACTTCAGGCATAACATCCCACCATGGACAGCGCAGTGGCCGACCACCTGCACTTAACGACCGAGACCAGCGACGTCTGCGTAGAGTTGTCAATGTTCACAGACAAGCAACACTGCATTAAATAACCGCAGAAATCAATGTGGGACGTACGAGGGACGTGTCCGATAGGACAGTGCGAAATTTGTCTTCCTTGGGCTATGCCAGCAGAAGACCGACTCGAGTGCCTTTACTGACAGCACGACATCGCCTGCAGCGACTCTCATGGGCTCGTGAGCATATTGGTTGGTCCTTAAACGAATGGAAAACCGTGGGTTGGTCAGATGAGTCACGATTTCAGTTGGTAAGAGCTGATGGTTGGGTTCGAGTGTGGCGCAGACCCCTAGAAGCCATGGATCCAAGTTGTCAACAAGGCACTGTTCAAGCTGGTGGTGGTTCCATAATGGTCTGGGCTGTTTTTACATGGCATGGATTCGGTCCTCTGGTGCAACTGAACCGATCGTTGACTGGAAATGGATACTTTCAGCTACTTGGAGATCACTTACAGCCATTCATGGACTTCACGTACTCAAACAACGATGGGATTTTTATGGATGACAATACGGCAGGTCACCGGGCTACAATTGTTCGTGATTGGTTAGAAGAACATTCTGGACAATTCCAGCGAATGATCTGGCCACCTAGATCGCCCAACATGAATCTCATCGAACATTTATGGGACATCATCGAGAGGTCAGTTCGTGCCCAAAACCCTGCACCGTCAATACTTTCACAATTATGGACGTCTATAGAGGCAGCATGGCTCAATATTCCTGCAAGGGACTTCCAATGACTTGTTGAGTCAATGCCACGTCGAGTTGCTGCACTTCGCCGGGCAAAAGGAGGACCGACATCATATTAGGAGGTATCCCATGACTTTTGTCACTTCAGTGCATATATACACTGCTCGACATTGAAAATGCAACACCAAGAAGGAATGGTCAGAAATGTATGCAAATTTTAGAGTAGATGCACGTCACTGACTTATACGAATGATGTGAAATGCATAGCTTTCAAACGCACGTGAAGTAAGATATAAGGGAAGGAACGTGCAGAATGGGCAATATTCGTGTCGTTATTTCTGCCAGACAAATTATCGAAGAAAGTTGGTTTTTGTCCCGGAGGATGCATGTAATAGGAGAAAATAACAGGCTGCTGTCAGCGAAGTCACTTCCAGCAGATACACGATTTTACGAGGGGTATGGTGAACGGACTGAGAAGGGCTGGTTGGTCCTTACGTCAAATCTCAGCTGATATCCACATGGATGCAAGCACGGTGCATCGGCTATGGCGAACATGGTTGGAACGAGGAAATGTGGGAAGAAGGAGGGGTGCAGGTGCAGCTAGAGTGATGTCAGCACATGTGGATTGACGCATTCGCCGACAAGCTGTGGCAGTCCCGCAAGTCACTTGTACCGCAATTCTGCAGCATGTGCAAGATACCCTGGATGTTCCCATGTCGACCAGAACCATTTACTGTGTAT